TCGCCTATGTGGGGGCTTCTCGTCGGAATGGGGTGGAGAGGGGGTGGACGCATTTCGACCCGAATTGGCTTCAACTAAATTCGGGGGGGGGGGGGGGGCTGAGGTCCACCTCCCCCCAGCGCCTTCTCGCAACGCCACTGATCCCTGCCCAATTTCATATTAATTCAAAATTTCTTTTCCGGGGAAGTATTAATACAAGGTGCAACTGTGAAATTGGCTGGAAATGTATCTACAGACTGGAGACCCTAAATATTGTCAGTGGCTAGGATGTCCAGAGCGCTCACCTGACCGGCAGCTCTGAGTGATCTGAGATTCCTTCGCGGCATGTGAACGTGCGTGAGGTGCGTGAGGCTGGACACCTCTGGCCTCGCTAAATGTCTACCGTTCTGGTTTTCGCTGTTCCGACACGATAACTAACACGAATACAATGCTTGTTCTCGGATTTGTTCTGTTCAAGAAAGCGAAGTAGAGAATCTGATACGGCTGAGGCGGAGGCTAGATGAACCTCTGCGAATCGAGACCATTCGTACAGTATTCATTCCTGCTGCGCGTTTTTTCCCTTCGAGATGAATTTCCCGGTTAAAATTTATATCGGATACCTGAATCTATTAGGGGAACTGTATCCGGTATGAGTCATTTCTCGCGCAATACAGGTATTTCCTTCCCACCACAGGGGGAACGTTTACAATTTCAAGAGTTAATTATGAAATTAGATATGTGGTCTATTACTCTCTTATTGGTAGACTATTACTCTCTTTGGACCTGAAGAACAGGGGCCTTTTTCACGAAACTTCTTTAACTTTTCTTTAACTTTATGTCGGCTATATTCCGACTTTATCCCGACTCAAAGTAAAGAGAAAATAAAGACACCTTTGGAGGTCTCTCTATCTCGACTTTAATGTGGATTCGATGCAAAGAGAAATGGTGTTGGAATCATACTGGACAACGACCTGAAGAAGTGTGTGTAAAAAAAAAAAAAACAGCGACCCCACATGAAAGTGGGAACAGCTAGTAGAAGAAGAAGAAGATTTATTACGAAGAGCTTTAGTGATGAGCGAAGCCCACAGGGAGACGTTCCTCTCCGAGCGAGGGAACTGTTACTTCACAACTCGACAGTAAAGCCCGAAGAAAAGTTCGAAGCACGCGTGAAGGGGAATACCAGCAAATCCAGGAAATCGAGCAAACTGAGCGCCGTCGGTGATCCATAGCAAACTGTTCATCTTCCCGTTCGTCATAGCGAGAGGAAAAATATTGAGGAATTCTGAATCCAGGGGCCTTTTTCACAAAACTTCTTTAACTTTTCTTTAACTTTATTTCGGCTATATTTCGACTTTATCCCGGCTCAAAATAAAGAAAAAATAGAGACACCTTTGGAGGTCTCTCTATCTCGACTTTAACCTCTCTGAGGGCTATGGAAATTCTAAATAACATGCCCCATGCATGGGGCATGTTATTTAGAATTGAAGTCACAAGTAGCAGAGAGTAGCCATGGTCGTGTTCACACGGAGAGCGGTAAGTCACGACCATGGCTGCATGGCTTCACCTAATTCGAAGGCAACTTTGTCGGGAAAGAGTACTTTGCGACCGATTCCTGGCCACAGGCTCCATCTAATATGGTAGGAATGGAAAGGCCATGACCATTACCGAGCATGGAGTGGATGGAGCCTGTGGTCAGGAATCGAAGTGCCACACATTCTATCAGCTGCATTGGTAGTGCTCCACAACGGGCAGTACCCCTTTGTATTTTCGCCTGGACTAGGACACAGATATCCAAGAGGAGACTCCGTGAGAGTCTGAATCTGCTCCTGAGTCCTTCATCGTCGTACTCTTCCAAGGCTGTTTCGGTCGCAAAGTACTCTTTCCCGACGAAGCTGCCTTCGATTTAGATGAAGTCTTGCAGCCATGGTCAAGTGAACACGGAGAGCAGTAAGTCACAGGTGGCAGAAAGAATGCTCATGCAACGCTTGGGGCACGTTAATAAGAATGCACACAGGTGAGTTTCCGTAGTCCTGTGAGAGTTTAAAGTCGAGATAGAGAGACCTCCAAAGGTGTCTTTATTTTCTCTTTACTTTGAGTCGGGATAAAGTCGAAATATAGCCGAAATAAAGTTAAAGAAAAGTTAAAGAAGTTTCGTGAAAAAGGCCCCTGGAGCTCTGATAGAACTCGATTCCAGTGCTCCTGTCCTCACTTCTGCAAACCTCTTTTTACTTTATTATTGTGATTGGATATTTTGGAACTCCGCGGAATGTAATGGTCGTAACCTTCTTTCTCGCATTGCAGCAAGTTGGATTACATTTCAGAACGATGCACGAATAGCTCCACTTTGACCCGTTGTTTCCTGATACGAAGGAAAGCGAGTTCGAAACTTCCGAGACACCTGACTAGGTTCGATGCCGGAGGGCAAAAAGCCCTGCTACTCTTCTCGTTAGATGCTTTGCGCACGCATGGGTTTTCTCTGGAAGACCGTCCAGTTAGGGGTGCTTTTCACGGTTGTCGCAGTTGTGGCGAGGTTCTCCGATATTGATTTGCAGTCGCGCTGTTTTGGCAAAAATTCTCTATGATATTCCAAATAGTGGAAACCCTTACGTGAGCGTACCCAGTATTTTATACTCTTCTCTCCGGCTCAATCCTAGGCACAAAAAGGAAAATTAAAAAAAGGAAAAACAAGAGCCTCCTTTTTTGTTTCCTGAGGGTTAGTACTGCCGTTCTGTATTCCCTTGCCAACAGAGGGCCCTGCGTGCTGGATGGGCAATTTAGGTACACTGAATCACAGGAACGATTTAGAATCACATAATGAAAAATATTGAAATATCCCTTTTCAATAAGAACATTAATTTGATGCATTGCATTGTATCATGTCCATGACAGCCTTTTCGGTGAACCTATGGCATTTTTTTTCGCATCCGGTGCTTGGTACAGTTGAAGGACACCGAAAGAACCATATTCTTTACCGGAATTTCCTTGCACGAGCAGCACATCTTTCCACCTACCTCGTTCAAGCTTATCGGCTAGAGAAACGTGTTGTGTTGCCTACCTCAATGCACGTTCTGCACACAAGCCGACGTCCTCGATCGAGCGAAGTTCCCAGTAAAAATAGGTTTGGGGCTTCGTACCGACCACCAGCACACGTTGGAACAGAAGAGGACCCTCTAGAAACGCTCATGTATCACTGGGCTCCAGACGAAGCTTATCTCATCATTCCAAGCTTCTTCTCTAATCTCTCCGTATCGAGAGATACGCCCGAAGAGTGCCTACCATGGTCGCTCTGAAGAGTCACGGATGTCCTTCCTCCTGGTCCATGATTGACATCGTGCGAGGTAAATTTTTTTGTCAGTATCGTCCGATGTGAACATCCCCTAAAGGAGAAAGCAGTGGCGGTAGACATTTTTTCCACCTTCTCCTCAGTCCTCAATCTCCCCTCAGTCCGCGGACGCACCCGAAGGAGAAGGAAACGAGACCGTTCCCATGCATGCTGCCTCGGGTCGAAAGCCTTTGGCAGTTTCACCACCAGTCAACACCAGAACGTACGACGCACGTCCCATATCGGGTAGAGCCAACGTGTAAGGAACATCCTCGGAAACGTTCTGTTGACCGTTCAAGTGTTCGAAATTTGAATCGTCAAAGACCGTTCATCGAGGCCGTGAATTCAAGGTTCCCCAGCAGCGCCAAAACGTTCGAAGAACTTCCTGATTCAGCCGACAAGCAAGGAACACCCCGGAAACGTTCTCAATAGCCAAGAAAATTGTCCCACGCGCACAAACAGCTCTGCTCCACATCATGCGGCCGAATCTCTCAAAATCTGATGGGATTTCCTTGTGGAGGACGGTGCTATTCCCAACAGTCTTTGTGAGATTTTGACTTCCTTCACAGGCAAAGAACCCATCCAGATATTGGCGCGTCATCTCTCTTCTTTCATGCGAACCTCGTTGGATGGAACCACTGCCAGATGGCAGGTCCGCTGCCCCGACCACTGATCACAGGTGTGCCTGGAGAAAGTGTTCCATTTAACTTTCAACTCATTTCCGTCAGAAACGTTATGAAGATTAGGACATTAATGATGAAACGGCATCGGCAAAAGAAAAACTTGTGGCGCTTCACCGAAAGGAAGTCGAAATCATCATTAGATTTCCTTTCTATCGCAGATGAACGCCTGGTAATACCTTTACGTTCCCGTCCTCCCCTAAAATATGAAACCAAGACTCTCCTGTGTAGGTGAAAACGACCACCTTCAACCTTCTCTGTCGTTTACCGAGATCCTGAAAACTTAATTTTTGGGATGTTGGCTTCCCATTTTTTGCGCTTGAATTAATTTTTCAATTCTCACCCCAATTTTACCATTAAGAAATGCCCTAATGTGATTTCTGTGCTTCCAGAAGTTACGATGAGATCCAATCTTGGGGCAAATCGCTTGAAATATGAGACAACACAGAAACTGCAGAACGAATTCGAAAGTGCGTTCGTAGATGAACTTGAAAATGAAGTATTTACTCAAATATAAAAACAGCAATAAAAATGTTGGAATAAGTTCCTTCAGAGGGAACACTATTTTCATAGACGGACTGACAACACTGTTACGAAATCGGTGCAACTTCCGCGCGCTAACCACATTCCCGCCATCCTACTTTGTGTAGGATGGCGGGAATTCCTTGAAATTATGGAAAAACAATTAGATCTCGCAAGAATGTCACTAATGTATTGAATGAGCGCGTCTCGGTGCAGAAATCGAAAGAAAAAGAATAAACTTTTTTTTATTCACCCCGTAAAAGTCCTCAACCTTTCAAAATTGCAAAATTCCTTGCATGTTTTTTACGTTCCCATACTGCGTACAAAACGAATCGCTGAAATTAAAATGTTAAGTCATCTTGAGTCTTCCTAAAATGAGTGATGACCTCAGCTGAGCTCAGGCTTGAGAAGATGCAGCCAATTTTTAATATCCGAATAGCAAATTTTGCAGAATTCCTTTAATTAGACAATCATTTCAAAATGAATTTGCACAACATAGCCCATCTCCCACAGCCATGATCAGTTTTTTTTTAAAACTCAATTCTCCAATGAAAATGTGGATTTCAGAAATGTCAAGCTTCTCAAGTCCGATTCTCTGATTGAGCGAATATATTGTCACATCCGACACTTTTCTTCGCACATGTATATGGCTCTAATGAAACCAATGCTGCAGGCGTTGTAGTTCAATTCGTGACATTTTTTTTTTTGTCAGACTGAGGAAACCCCTCAGATATCTCTGTTTCCCCTCAGCCGGTCCGATATGTCAGTTTGATGCGCCGCGTCCAGGGCCTCCAAGAAGCATTCGAAGACTCGAGCATCCCTCGCCGCGACGTATTCCAACAGCATTTCCCTGCGCCTCCTCCCGTGGGTCACCGAGGACAGCTCCTCTCGTTTCGACAGAGGGAGCATCCTATTGTCAATCAGATGGTTCTCGACCGCCACCGCGTCCATGTTATCCAGCAGCAAGCTCCAGTTCCGCGTGATGGCATCCCGATGCGTCGAGGGAGTCACAGCCTCCGTCCTACCCAGGGGGGATGAGAGGCCGGCCGCGGCCGGGATTTCTCTTCTCGTCTGATTCGTGCGATCTGCGAGGAAATTAGAGGTGAGCACGTATCTTTTGAATTCGCTTCGCATCTCATTTGCTTGTGGTGAGCGTGGACTGTCGTTTTAACAAGTCTCCCATAGCACATATCTTAATGGAATTTGATATTGGAACGCATCGCTTCGATTCCTGACGCATGGCATATTACGAGAAAACGCCCCTTTACTGGGGCCTAAAGAAATGTGCTTCTAGAAGAAGCTTTACTATAATGAGCGAAATCCAGCGGTGTCATCAAGAAAGGCTTTTTTTTACTGGTGACATTGCCTTTTATAGCATTGCACACTACGTTTAGCGAATGTATGGATAAAAAAAAAATTACAATTATTTTCCTCGACCAGAAAATGTATGCATCTCGTGCATCTTGATAACGCCGCGTTGCTCCATCACAGCCAGTTATAAAAGTCCATAGAAATGAGCGCTTAACAGTATGTGGCCATTCTCAAATACAAAACCTAGTAGCTCCTGTTGAACTGCTGGACCTTCTCAGGTCCTGCACTCGATGTCTGCCCAGGGAAGAATCCTTTTCGTTGTGATTCTCAGGCCTTCCTGCAGTGCTGCCTTTTTCATCATACATTATGCCGATTTCACTCCATTACTTTTTCGATGGCTCGAGTGCCGGAGAGACAAGAAGAGGATCATCTTTGTAGACAAGACTGTCTGGTGGCAGGTTATTCCTCTTGTCAGTGCTGTTAGGGGCAGTAAATCGACTTTACAAGCTAAGCTACCGCACCCTCGAAAACGTTGGAAGAGAAAAAGGTTCGTTTGAGGCATTCGGCATCTTCCTCAATGCTCAATTACTATTCAACTGATTGAGCATTGAACATTTTTGGAAGAGTATAATGACGGTGCGACACGAAAGGAAAGAACTTCCTGCTGTTAAACTCCAGGTGGAAAATTCCATTTAATGCCTGTAGAATCTCAGCAGAGCCATACTATAAAAGCACCTTCACACGTGTTCCTTTCACGAAAGGCAAAGGTCGGTGGAGTTGAAGATGGGAACCTGTCCCGAAGGCAAGGAATTCCTTCAGCGATTCGGGTTTGCCATACGAAAGAATAAGAAGCGATTCAGGTGGCTCTCGCTTGGTGAGTACTGTCTCGATGCAAATAGAGAACGCTCCGCGAGCTGAATGCTCGACATAATTGCAGATGTTGAAGGGAACGGAGGGAAGAGAATCGATCGGAAAGAAGAAGACTGAAATTGTAAAAGAGGGAAGTGGGGGGGGGGGAATAAAAGCGCCTGATAATATGTCGTGACGTCCGGGCAATAGAATTCGTCCAAGACTCCCAGGGCCTGCATTTCCTCGTAGTTCGTCAGGGTTTCTGTCTGGACTCGGGGGAGATGAAACATATCACTGCCTACGAGGCGACACCACCCAATAGAGTGGCTTCGCTTTAGTAATCGAAACGACCAGCAGTTTCCTCTGATCAACATACTGTCGCGCTTTGCTGCTTTCGCACAGGCGGTAGGTAGTTTATGATAACGGGCTTAGTGGAGTCGCTTAGCAATCGCTCCCGCATTTCATACTAATTTCTCTGGGCAAGCACGAAGTGCCAAACTGATATTGGCTGGAAACGTTTCTGCCCACTGACACGGAAGGAAGTCCAGAGTGCTCACTTGCCTAGTAGCTCTGAGAGGTCTCAGATGCCTTCGCGGCATGTGAATGTGCGTGAAGCTACGTGAGACTGGACACCCCTGGCCTTTCCAAATTTTGACCACTTTGGTTTTCGTTGTTCCGACACGATAACCGACACGAATACAAGGCTTATTCTCGACTTCATCCTGTTCGAGAAGGTGAGGTAAAGAATCGGAGGCAGAGGCTAGATAGAACTCTGCGAATTGAGAACAATTTCCCGGTTAAAACTGGATTTTAGATAACTGAATCGATAAGGGGAACTGTATCCTGTATGAGTCAGTACTCGCGCAACGCAGATGCGTAATGTTTCTTTTCCACCATGGGGGAACGTTTGCAACTTCAAGGGCTACTTATGAAATTAGACTTGTGGTCAATTACTCTCCTTGGACCTGAATAAGTGAGCCTGGAGAACAGGCGCTTTGAAAGAACTCAATTCCGGTACTCGTGTTCTCAGTTCTGCTGGCTGATTTTTTCCTAATTCTTGTGATTGGATATTTTGGAACTCCGTGGAATGTAGTGGGTGTAGCCCTATTCCTCGTGTTACATTATATCGGATTACATTTCAGAACGATACACTCCCCTTCAACCTCGTTTCCCGATGTACGATTCTCGATACGAAGGAAAGCAAGATGACACTCCCGAAACACCTGTCTAGGTTCGAGCCAATGGAAGGCAAGTGATCTTGAGTGACCTTGATCTTGAGGACCTCAGGGCCTTGATTAAGGGCGCTTTTCACTGTCGCCCCGGTCGTGGCGAAGTTCTCTCATATAAATTTGCAGTGGCGCTCTGGTGGCGAAAACTCTCCATTAAATTCCAAATAGAAGAAACCCATATGTGGCCATACCCAGTAATTTATGCTCTTCCATACGACTCGGTCAGGATTACGCGGCACAGAAAGGAAAATTTACAAAAGAAAAAACAAGAGCTTCCTTTTTGCTAGCGGAGGGGTAGAACCGCGGTTCTGTATTCCCTCGCCAACAGGGGGCCCTGTGCGCTGGCTCGGCTATATGGGTTCACTGAGTCGCAGGTACACTTGAGAATCGCATCGAAAAGGGATGTCACACTTTTCCGTGATGAAGTGAATCATAATTTGATGCATTGCCTGCTGTCGTGTCCCTGGTAGTCTTCTCTGTGAACCCATGACAATTTTTTTGGCACCCGGTGCTTGGTACAGTTGAAGGATACTGAAGAAATCGTATTCTTTACTGGCATATTCTTGCACGGACCTATCTTACCACCTACCTCGTTCTAGCGTATCGGCAAGAGAAATGTGATTTCTCTGTCGAAGGATCCGGATGAACGTCGGAAAAGCGTGATCTCCCTCCAGCGGCAACTGCGTCTGAAGAAACAGCCGCTTCTCCCGCGTGCTTCTACCAGGATCCATGATATCGGAGAACTGCCCATGGCTGAAGATCCCATTTCCCCTCAGGTCCGTCAAGACGGCGTTGAGGTCGATTGTCTCCAACGCTTCCCAATGCCGAGCGAGGACGACGTCCACATTCTCCATGGCTGTTCGCTGCTTGGGATGACCTGTGAGAGTTTCCCTTCACTTCGCATGCGTTACGCGCGTTTGCGTCACTTGGGTTGCCTACCTTAGTGAACGTTCTATGCCCGAGTCGACGTCCTCGATCAGGGGAAGTTCCCAGTAAAAATAGGTGTGGGGCGTCGTACCGACCACCGGCACACGTTGGAACAGGTGAGGATCGCTCATGTATCACTGGGCTCCAGACGAAGCTTATCTCATCATTCCCAGTTTCCTCTCTTATCTCCCCGTATCGAGAGATACGCCCGAAGAATGCATGCCATGATCGCGCAGAAGAGTCACTGATGTTCTTCCCCCCTATTTCCGTCATGGTTGACTTCGTGCGAGGTAAATTTTTGGTCGGTACGAGGATCGTCCGATATGAACATCCCCTAACTGAGGAAAAAGCAGTTGCGGTAGATAAGACCAACTTCCCCTGTCCTCAATCTTTCTCCCTTCAGTCCTTGGACGCACCCCATGCATGCTGCACCCCATGCATGCTGCACCCCATGCATGCTGCACCCCATGCATGCTGCCTCGGGTTGGAAGCCTTTGGCAGTGTCCCCTCTTACTGCCTGCTTCTTGAGATCTGCAAGGAGATTTCTGTTGGGAGACTCGTGAGTCTCACCGCACGAACAAAAGTGCCGTATGAGAAACCCTACGAGTCAGCTTCGCAACTTCCCACGGGGGAACTGTTTTACGTTCCCCTAATATGAATGCTATGAATAAGGAACATCCTCGTTGCATTAGTCGATATCAGTTTCCGAAATATGCATCATCAAGGACGCTTCCAGAAACCCGTAGATTAGTAAGATCGGCTTTTCATTCATATCGTTCGAGGAAAGGCGTGACCTTCTGAAGGGGTGACCTTCTGTAAATTAATATAAAGCGGTTTCACAAGCATTCGATAGGGAAGTGTGAGATGGCCTTAATCATGCCCAAGCAACACCAGAACGTTGAAGGAGCGTACGACGCACGTCCTATATCGGGTACAGCCAATGTGCAACGATCATCCTCAGAAACGTTCTGTCGACCGTTCGAATGCCTGAAATTTATATCGTCGACGACCGCTCATCGAGGACTTGAATTGGAAGGTTCCCGAGCGGTACAAAAACCTTCGAAGAAATCCAGCTTCGTTCGGACAAGAAGACTAGTGCATGCTTTCACCTCTTGCTTTGGTGAAATCATTCGGTCAAATTTAATTTCAATCTACCTCGCTTGAAATTAAACCTAGAGGTGAGATAGACGAAAAGAGACGTGGAGACGAGGACGAGCCCCCATCCGAAGCGTTTGAACAGCCACGCTACCATAAAAACGCGAACAAAGAAATTCGTCAAAATCCTCCTGGACTCGAAGGGCAACACCCCTCCGCGTGTAAGAATACAGCAGGGAATTTTCATCAACCGTTCTTGAGAGGACGGCAAGGTGCATGGAACGGATGACGTCACCAGCAGTTTCAAAACGCATTTGGATAGCGCGTAAGACGTTGAGGGGCTCTTCCGGTCGTGGTCATCGCGACGATCCACCAATCAAGAACGACTTGATGATCGGCTGAGCTCCGGGATGACGTCGTGCGACTCGTTGGAGTCAGTGCTCAGTTGGACGGCGTTCATGTCAGTGCTTCATGTGCTGTGTCGTGCTGGAACTGGCGCCTGATCCGAAATAGGCCTATCGGCTACCCTGACGAACGAAGTAGCATGAACTTTTTGCAGTAAAACGCTATATGACGCACTGTCCGAAATGGTGAGTTTCACGAATTTCCAGGCTTCTCATACGAGACTGCGAGGAATGGCGCGTCTTCAGCGTCTCTCCATCGAGGCGACGAAGAATGGGGCAGTTCCCGGTTTCTTCAGCTGAAAGCCTTGAATTCCTCGTGCGAGGCTTGTGCAATGGGTAGAATTTATGAAAATGCATAACGTTTGAATATGTAGAGATTTTTGATAGTCGACTAGAATGCCCCCTGCAGACTTAAGATTGAGCCTTAGATGCCCTCCTCATACGTTTGTTTATCGTCTGCGTTGAAGTCTTTGTGATATCAGGGGAAGTTGTTCGTCCCCCTTCTAGATTTAGAACTCGTTGCCGAAATGCCATCGGAAAACCTGGGACTTGATCACCTAGTAATGCGTTCACGTCCCCGTCATCCTTGAAAAACGAGGACCGAAAACTCCCCGGTGCGAATTCTGCGCATGAACCACGTGCTCGCCAATACTTCTCCGGCAAAAATGACATTCGAGTTGGTTTTTGCAAATACTGCGCATCTGGTAGAATGATAGAAGTTTATTTCGAAAATAAGGAATTTATTGCGCCATCTGCCTTCTCACGAAAGCCAAGAATTTCAGAGAGAGTTTCCGCGACCCGCCGACGAACCCGACATCACACGGAAGGATCCTGTTCACCGCCATCAAGCGACGGCAAACGCCGCTCGGATGCTCTCCTTCGAAATGCCGAATCGTGAAAATCAGAACAAGATGCACCGAGTTGATTCCGTCGTACGAGGAGAGGACACGCACGGCGCTCACATCAACGATCCTTTCCCAGAGCGACTCCACGGCCTTCTCGAAGGCCTCCCTCTCTCGTCCATCTTCTTCGTCGTACAGGGCGTCGACGGCCATTACGGGTACCAGAGCAGGATCGGTGAAGCACAAGCCGAAAAATTCTCAGAGCCTCATTTTGATCTCTTCCAAGGTAATCGGACGTTTTCGGCGTAATCTGTGCTTCTCTGATACTTGATCGAAACTCCACCTGCTGAGGACCACTGCCATGTTGTTAAAGAGTGAACTCCCGCATATTCCAAGCACGAATTTCAAAATTCTCGGTTTCCATAGAGTCAAACCTAGCTCGTTGACTGCTCCTTACATAAACGATAGCATGCACCGAAGGGTTTTCTAGAAGCCCACATTTTATCTCTCGCCTTCGGTTTTGTCACTCCGGAATGAAGCGGGTGAGTTTATCTCGATGATGCGAATCGGTCTCCTTTTATCCCCTCTCCAATAACCGTCAATGGCTTGGACACAAGTAGTGCATTCAGGATCTGAATCATGTATTTCAAATCCTTTCGTGTCGTCGTCGTCGTACTTCAAGCCTAGAAGAAGAACGGGATTCCCCGGAGAGAAATGAAAAGAACGCAGAAGGATCCGACAGAACGAGCAAAACTGCCCCATGACCAGTCTTACGTTTTCTCCTTCACGAGTCATTGGATTATGGTAGCTGGGAACGTTCAGTTGTTCTATTAAACTATCTCACGAGAAACCACCATAATCCGGTAGCAGAAAAAAAATTCTCCAAAGGCATCCTGGCTCAGTGCCACGCGGTTGCAAAACTTTAGCAATGATTTTCGGTCGCACCAAAAACACGGACTGATATACTAGAATATCCATGATTCAACCGCTGTCAACTGCCAGACTGAGATGCCAGCTGGGGCAGTTCATTTCGAAGAATTCCTCAATAATTGTGGACGAGGTTTTGTCTCTACACACTTGAATCCTCTATGTCTCAAATCCATTTCTGACCTGGCAGATGCAAATCTGAAAACGAGGTTGGTTTCATCAATTTTCCTCAATCAATCTTCGCCACGGGGGTCAAAGTGTAAATTTAAAAAATTACAGCAATGCAAAAAATTGTTCTCGTGTCGGAATGACTTTTTGATTTTCTTAGCGCCATTTCCATGTTAGTTTCCTCCATAGACACCTGCCAAAAGGGTTTTCTTGTTGCCCTGTACCATAAATAGTTAACGAATACAAAAAGATCCTTAATATTTAAAGTCCTTTATATCATACAGTATATCTCCTAGCTCGTGCCGCACGTTGCCTACCTTGTTCAATCTTGTCGGCAAGAGAAGAGTAGTTCCTTTTGCGGAGGATTTTGATGAAAATGGGAAAAGCATGATCTCCCTCCAGTGGCAATTGTTTCTGAAGAAACAACCGTTCATTTTCCCCTGTCGTTTCCAAGGCGTCGAAGAACCTGTCACGGCCGAAGACCAGCTCTTCCCCTCGAGTCCATCAAGACGTCATCCACGTCGACGCTCCCCAGCGCTTCCCAATGCCGAGCGCGGACGATGGCGAACCCTCCCATGATCGATCACGGCTCGGAAAGGCATTCAGCAGAAGTCACACACTTAAGCGTAGCTGGCCTCCGTACGAGCATCGTCTTCGGGAGACCACGGCGAGGTTCACAGCCGCTAACGACCTGGGTTCCATAGCACCATCAGTGAGTCATCTTTTAGGATACACAAAAACCCCGTTCATTGTCCCATGAGAGGCTGGATTGCATGTATAGTTTATCTACGTTTCATACCTTATCTAACCTTTTATCTCTTCTTGCCGAGAGACACGCCAAAGTACCTGCCTTCATCACTGTAAAACTGCTTCACAAACGTAGATGCAGATTTTCCTTGCAAGGAATGGAAATGAAAGGAACTCACTAACTCAGGAAAAAAAAAGTATATTAATGTGTGAGACCTTTTTAGCTGAGTTCATGGGTTGAGTTGAGAATGAAGCTGTGATTAGAAGTGATTAACCGATCTGGTGGGATATGGAGATATCTTATCCGGACCTCCCTGAATCAACAGGATGACGCGCGCCATGGATTTCATGCTTCCTGAAGGCTTTGCTACATACACCCGCACAGATAGAACCATCGAAGCCGAGCAGCCAATCACAGGCCGGATCATGATCACGTGATCTTGAACAGTATGGCGCTCAGCAGCCAAGCGAACGTCAGCTCCGCCCTCGAAGTCATCAGAGCTCTTATGCCACTGTTTCTCTGGCCATGTCCTGTTTTGCACTCGCTCCGTGCTTCAGTGAATGCCCCAATAGGTCTATCGTAGTATGAATTGAAGTAAAAACCAATACTCAATAGCTTTCCCTTCTTCAAGTCACCTCCCGCCAAATCCAGAAGGAAAGGTTGTAATGGCGATAACGATATGAGGGAGGTCATACGAATGGAGAGAGGCTTAGGCTTAAGGGAGTATGTAAAAAAGCTTGGCCGGCCTAATGTTACAAGTCCTCGACGAGATGTCTTGACGACCGCAGATTCACCCTTTTAGGCCTAATTGACACCGTAAGTCGAGAATTGAGTTTCTTTATAAGGAAATTAGGTGGGCCTCGGCGTGACCTGAAAGCAATTTGTCGGTTAGGCCCGTTTGTCATTTGTCACGTTAGTGAGTCCCATAGAGAAGGGGGGGGGGGGAGGTTGAAGAATGGGAAAGCCTTTCAAATTTGGTTTTTACATTACTTCATTTAATATTTTTAAATGAATAATCGAGGTAACTCATCGAAAGAGCTAAAAAGAGTAACCCGCAAAGGATAAATATGAGTTGCAGTTGAAACACCCTTTAGGGGATAAAAGCTGAAGCTTTTTGCCTAAAGTGTACTTCGCGGGAAATAGAACTCATCCAGTCATTTACGTGTCGCTTCGTTCATTCGAATATCGTTCGTTCGAGCCACTGCCAGATGGCTTATCCGCTGCCTCGACTATGTATTACAGATGCGCTTAAAGAAAGCGGTCCACTTAACGTTCAACTCACAGTTTCCAAAGTAATCGAATGGCGTTACCGAAATCTTCGGTTCTCGTGCACTCAAACTCCACCCGCTAAAGATTACTGCAAAGTTCTTGAGGGAACTCTCAATTATTCCAAGCATATTCAAATCCTTGGCTTCGATAGGAGTAATTGAGGTTCGTTACTGTTCTTGCCAGTATACGATAGCATGCACCGTAACCTTTTCTAGAAGCGCACATATTCTTTCGAATCTTCCGTCTACATATTCGTCACCTGGGGGAAACGCGGGTGTGTCAACGATGCGAATTGGTTTGCTATCCCATCGCCAATAGCTGTCAATGGCCGAGACAGGAGAAGTGCATGAATACGTCGAGTTTTCTGTTGGAAATCCTTTCACGTGGTCGTCATGCTTCGACTCGTTCGGGACTAGAGTCGAAGGGATCGCTCTTCCAACGCGCGTGTCCTTCGGTTCGCCTTCCCTCCAGAGATTGCGCCAGCGACAGGATCCACAGTTCGTCATCCCCTCCATAGATGGCGATAGCGACAGGGTCTTCGGATCCTCAACCCCCAGAGATGTGCCACCCATGCAGGCGCCAAGAGATCATCTCGTCACCTCCCGTTTTCCTGGCAACATTCCACTGTCATTTTAAACATCCAAAATTCCCCACAATTCCTCACACTCACAACATATCAACATTTACAACTAACAAGGCTATGGACTTACCTTTCGGTCGTGTACAAATCGACGGAAACTTGTGATGAAGGAGACCACGTCGAGACTGCTCAGGTTTCCTGCTTGGAACAGCTTTTATACCCTCCCTTTCCTCCTTCACGCAGTGGTTCACCTTGGCTCCTCCCCCCCCCCCCCCCCCCCCCCCC